CATCAGGCCAAATCCTTTGTGTGATGTTGCACTCTATATGATTTTAGGAAAATATGCTAATGAGTTAAATATAATGTACCACTCATGTATCTGAAACTAGAAATATGAAGTATAACTCTGAGGGCCTATTGTAATTATGCAAAGTGTGGGCCATTCTCTTGATGGCTCTCCTGCCATTCCTCTTCTTGGAAGGTAAAACCACAGGCTGATTTAAGTGCAGGACTCCTCCCTGAGAGATGGTGACACTAATTCTTCCCTGTTTGTGTGCAGCAGGTGAAGAAAAGCTCTGCCCCTAGTTGGTTCCTCCAGCTCTTACATGAGGAAATTGTCCCCTACCCTTTGCAAAAACTTCCTGGATTATCTGTGCACCGCTGTATTGCTCTCCCAGCAGATATCAGGGTGATTAAAGTCTCCCATGAGAACCAGAGCCTACGATCTATCGACTTCTGCTAGTTGCCAGAAAAAAGCCTTGTCCACCTCATCCCCCTGGTCTGGTGGTCTATAGTAGACTCCGACCACGATATCACCCTTGTTGCTCACACTTCTCAACTTTATCCAGAGACTCTCAGGTTTTTCTGCAGTTTCATACCGGAGCTCTGAGCAGTCATACTCCTCTCTTACATACAACGCAAGTCCCCCAACTTTTCTGCCCTGCCTGTCCTTCCTGAACAGTTTATATCCATCCATGACAGTACTCCAGTCATGTGAGTTATCCCACCAAGTCTCTGTTATTCCAATCGCATCATAGTTCCCTGACTGTGCCAGGACTTCCAGTTCTCCCTGTTTGTTTCCCAGGCTTCTTGAATTTGTGTATAGGCACTTACGATAACTCGCTGATCGTCCTGCTTTCTCAGTATGAGGCAGGAGTCCTCCCTTCTTGCGCTCTCCTGCTTGTGCTTCCCGTTTCCCCTCTTACCTCAGGAAACCCCATCATACCATCCCCTGCATTAACTTAACTTAAATAACTCCTCTCCCTCCCTAGTATTTAGCCCTCTGATGTATTTATAGAGAGCAATCATATCTCCCCTCAACTTTATTTTGGTTAGGCTAAACAAGCCAAGCTCTTTGAGTTTCCTCTCATAAAGTAGGTTTTCCATTCCTCGGATCATCTCATTAACCCTTCTCCACACCTGTTCCAGTTTGAATTCATTTTTCATAAACATGGGAGACCAGAATTGCACATAGTATTCCAGATGAGGTCTCACCAGTCCCTTGTATAATGGTACTAACACTTCCCTGTCTCTACTGGAAATACCTTGCCTAATGCATCCTAGCACTGCATTAGCTTTTATCATGGCTGCATCATACTGATGGCTCCTAGTCATCCTGTGACCAACCAATATAGCCATCTTCCTCTGTCGCTTCCAACTGATAAGTCCCCAATTTATAGCAAAAATTCTTGTTGTTAGTCCCTAAGTGTATGACCTTGCACTTTGTACTATTAAAATTTCATCCCATTTCTATTACTCCAATTTACAAGGTCATCCAGATCTTGTATTATATTCCAGTCCTCCTTCGTATTGGCAATACTTCCCAACTTTGTGTCATCTGTAAATTTTATTAGCACACTCTCACTTTTTGCGAGAAGGTCATTAATAAAAATGTTAAATAAGATTGGTCCCAAAACCGAACCCAGAGAACTCCACTAGTAACCTCCCTGCAGCCTGACAGTTCATCTTTCACTATGACCCATTGTAGTTGCTCCTTTAACCAGTTCCTTATCCACCTTTCAGTTCTCATATTAATCCCCATCTTCTCCAATTTAACTAATAATTTCCCATGTGGAACCATATCAAATGCAATGATTCTTTTCTATGGGAAGAACAAACTAATCAAAGCTGATGTAATCAAATAATTTTATGGGACACTTGGTGGAGATTAAGCTAGAGACACACACTAAAGGAAATGTTGTTAAACTATGACTACTTGGAAATTTGCACAAAATATTAATGCACAAAAGAATTTAACATGATGACATTGGAACAAGATAAACTCATCAATAAGGCCATATCTGCACTAGAAATTGTTTGCCAGTATAGATATACCAGCAAACTGTGCTAGAGTAGATGCAGCTTATACTGGCAAAAAGGTGATTTTGATGGTATAGCTTATAACGGGTCCCTGAGCAAAATAAGTTGTATTGGTAAAAACACTTTTTTACCAGTATAACTGTGTTTACACTAGGGTTTTAGTCAGTAAAATAATATTGCAAAAATCACACCCCAAGCTGACATTGCTAAACTGCCAAAAGTTTCTACTGTAGACCTGGCCTATGGAGAGAGAGAGAGAGATTCACAAATTCAAGAGACAAAAAGGGTTTACTACAGAAAGACCTTCAAGCTCACCCATCTCCACAGCACTAACTGGCAATGTGCTACTTTGTTTATCTACACCATCAACACTATCATTTCACAGACAATTTGAAAACCATACCCTATAGATGACTCATATGTAGAAGAAACCACATGTTCAGATATAATAACAAGCTTACATCTTCATCTATTTCCTATGATTAGACTAGATCATTTCCCACCTCCTGTTCTACTCAGATGGGCTTCCTAATCCTTGACGTCTTTATTTGCCCACTCTGACTAAAACAAGGTTGTGGTTTCCTTTCAGCAGATTGTTGTGGTTTGCCGCTTGTAGAAGAGCTTATTTGTGAGGAGGACAATGCTGTGCAGATATTATCCATGTCACTATTGTGCCCTCTCATCTGAATGGCCCCCTAATAATTTTTTTTAGATGATGCTATTTAGTTTTGCAGAATCCCAGGTTTCATTTGTAAAAAGTCTGTCTATTATTATGCAAAAAGAACAGGAGTACTTGTGGTACCTTAGAGACTAACAAATTTATTAGAGCATAAGCTTTCGTGGACTACAGCCCACTTCTTCGGATGCATCCTTTTTGCGGATACAGACTAACACGGCTGCTATTCTGAAACCTGTCTATTATTATGGTTGCAAAGAAAACCTCAAAAGATGCTAAAGGGATGGGGAGGGATAGCTCAGTGGTTTGAGCATTGGCCTACTAAACCCAGGATTGTGAGCTCAGTCCTTGAGGGGGCCATTTAGGGAACTGGGGCAAAAATCTGTCAGGGACAGTACTTGGTCCTGCTGTGAAGGCAGAGGACTACACTCAGTGACCTTTCAAGGTCCCTTCCAGGTCTAAGGTATATCTCCATATAAAAACAATTCTGGAAAAATAGCCCTGAAAGGGATGAGCTACCCCATTCCTCTCAGTGAGGTGTTAACTCAGATGCCCACTGATGATAATTTAAATGCTAACTGTAACTATTTAATTCCTCATGTAAGAAAGGAGAGGGGGGATCGCAAATCAGCACAATCTGCCTTGAGAAACAGCTAATTCTGGTGCTCGACATGGCTGGCATTTCAGAGATAATACTTTTTAAATTCCCCCTTGGACAAAAAGGAGCCATGCCAAAGAAGCCTAGGAGAGCCGATGGGTATATTCAGGCCCCACTGAGGAGGAGCCCAGTGGAGCTCAGAGCATGATCATATTTTGAAAACAATCTGTATAAGTGGTGCCTCATTATGATGACTAACATGGAGCAAAACTTATTCTTTGTGTTGAGCTTGGGATAGTAACACTACCCTTTCCCCCAATTTAACAGAGATTAAAAATCAGTGTAGGTTATATATTATGTTTTTGCACATGGTCTGTTAGCCAGGTTACAAAACCACAGTCTTTTTCTTTTACTATCCAAGTAGTGCTTTACTAACTTGCGAGCTCCTCAAATACCAAAATAAATCTAAAGAAAATAAATATTTCTCTTAGCGGACTTATAGAGCAAAAGACAAATGATTTAATAAAGGTCACTGCAGTTTCAGTTTTATGTGGCACAGTTTTTGTTACTTTATTGTTAATTTAAGTTCTCCAGAATGAAAACCCCAACAAACAGCATGAATTATTGCATAACCTCACCCAACTGCAGAACACTCTGGAAATCTGCCATCAGCAAAAAGATGATCTCCAAGCAAAGAACACAAACCTCACAAATATTGTGAACATTAAAGGTATCAGTTGAAGCTCACTATTCTGTTATAGTCATTAGAGTAACATTTTTGTTTCATTAGAATCTTCATTCCCCTTGTCCTTATTAACAAAAGAGCTTTCTCAGGTTCCTTCTCTCCCTGTGCACAAACTGCCCCAGGGCCTGAGCTAAGTGTTAATAGAAAGGAAAGACACAAAAGAATCTTTGCGGGAAGTGTTGGGCACCCAGCAGGGGTCATACTCAATGATCCTTGGCTCACTAGCATCAGGGTTTTGAGACATGGGCGTATCCATTCCCTATAGGCATCACCTGATTCCTTCCTGTACCTTTGGGAATTACAGGAAATCACCGAATAATGACAAACTAATCATAGATGAACTGGTCATATAATTGTATGGGACACTTGGTGGAGAATAATGAAGTCATGCACCCTCTTAGGGAAAGTCTGTTAAACTATGGCCACTGGGGAAGTTGCAACGGGAATCCGTGCACAGCAAGACCCCAAAATGATGGCACTGAAACAAAATAACTCACATATAGACAGAAGAATATGGCAACAGACAAATAGGCCCAGATATACTGAGCACCTTGCATCCTCCTCAGCCAATTCCTGTGATTAGACTAAAGCATTTTCTACCTCCTCTCTGCCCCAGCAGACCCCTGTTCCCCATGCCCCATGACTTCCCAAATTTCCCACTCACACTAAAAAGGCTGCTGTGGTTTCCCTGTTGCAGAAGCACTTTGTTGTGAGGAACACAATATGTTGAGCTTGTGTTATGCCTTGCAGTGTTGCTTTTTGTTCATGTGCTTGTTTGTTTGGTGTTTCTTGCTGCCTTTCCCAGATGTTTTTATTTTTTAAAAAAAATTACTTAATCTCCTCTGTTCACGACCCACAAACCACTGTACAAAAAACCATGTTCAGGATCTGTGTAGAGTAGAGGACCAGGAGACAGAGGATGATGGAGAGTAGAGATTATTGTCCTTGTCTAGATTAGATTTTTTGGTTAGATGGTGTTCATTGATTTTAGCAGACACATCCAAAAACTGTAGTCTAGACAAGATCATCGAGAGTTTTACTTGAGTCAGTAAGCAGCCAGGTGCAGAATCTTGAGGACTTCTTCAAAGAGAAGATTAACTCCTCCCTTTCTTCTGTCCTCTTCTCCCTCCCATGTACCCTGAAAACATCTACTCCTTCCACCAATCAATTCTTTCATCAATTGATTCCGTTCTTCTTTTGTCTGGTGTGACATTGTGCAGTCTATATGGTTTTATAAAAACTTGATAATAAGTCAATATAATGTAACTGAGATAGTTTTAGAGAACATACGGTAATAAGTGAATGTAACGTAACTGGGATATGCTTCATGCAAAAGGTCTCTTGTAAGGTATCATTACAAAGCTTATAAGCTACTGAGTATGATCATTTGATTTGTATGAATGTACCACTCTTGTATCTAAAACTAGAAATATAAAATGTAACTCTGAGGGCCTATTGTAATTGTGTAAAGTGTGGACCATTAATGATGGTTTGGAATCTTGATGACTCCCATTGTCTGCAGATGGCTGTATTTACCTGTGAGTCTTTCTGTATATGTGTGTGCTGGCAAGTGAGTAATGAAGTCTTGCAGTGACATGTGATCATGTCACCTAAACTGGAATCCATCTTTAACCTGGTGCTTTTCCAGTGAGGGGGGTGGAAACCCAGAGAGACAAAGAGTTCCCGCCTTATGCAAAAGATATATAAAGGGGTGGAAGAGAACAGAGAGGGAGAGGAGCCATCATGAAGAATCCTCTAGCTACCACCTGAGCTGCAACAAGAGCTGTACCAGGGGAAAGAATTGTGCCCAGGCCTGGAAGGTGTCCAGTCTGAGAAAACCTTACTTAAACAACCCTGAGGGTCAAATTATCTG